CTGTCCCCACTCCCCGAACTCTGTCCCCACTCCCCTGTCTGCAGCTACAGAACTCTGTCCCCACTCCCCTGTCTCCAGCTACAGAACTCTGTCCCCATTCCTGTCCCCACTCCCTGAACTCTGTCCCCACTCTGGCACCCTCCCCAGCTGCAGAACCCTGTCCTCTGCCCTCCCAGCACCCTGTTCCCTCTCCCCTGCCCCCCGCCGCAGAACTCTGTCCCCTCAAAATGTATAATTATAAATGCTTCATTTTAGATTTAAATAACATGAATAAAAAACACACCATATATTTCATAACTATAAACACGTGATTTTAATTTTATACATTGCATAATTTAAAAATAAATTGTTTATCAGAGTGTGTAAGTAAGGGCTGGGGATAGCAAGTGATGGACAGGAGGAGAATAGAGAGGGTGGGGCTTCAAGGAATGGGTAGGACAGTAGATCTTCACCTGTTTGGAGATTTTAAAAAGTGATCTTGGGTGTAAAAAGGTTGGAGACCACTGGGCTACAGTGTGTTTTAAATAACAAATAGGGGGAGATTGCAAGCTTGGCAGGTATGTTTTGTTTGCTTTGCCACATAGTTTCGTGGGCGTTCCTGCTACTCCTAGCACAATGAGTTTGGCCTGCTCTTGAAAACATGCCTCAAGTTTTGTTTGTTGGGAGAGCTCCAAAATTATACTGATGGCACTCTCTCTCTCTGTCTCTGTCCTACACGTGATACCTACTGAATTGGGCCTGATGCAAGACCTGACCCCAGAACCATAGTCAGCAATGCCAGGCCGTATATTAAAACAGATATATACAAGTTTATAGTAAGTTGGCACGAGCACTGCAATCATTGGTAAAATACAGGCATGCCTAAGAAGTAACAGATAGTGCTTATGTGTGTGAATATACTCTAAAAGATGAGTACCAGAAGGTTTGACAGAAGTGATGAAAGAGATGTTTTGTTCAAGACCCATGGAGCAAGATACAAGACAAGAAACAAACAGCTGTCACAGAACACGTAACTAATACCTTATTTCTTCTTTGAATGCTTGCTCATATGCATTTCAGTATGTGTGTGTGTAACAATTGTCAAAAGACTTGGCCCTAGCAGTACCCTTTGGTTCTGATGTAGTGCCCCCTGCCAACCTAACTCCTGCCAGTCATGGTGATTAGAGCTTCTGATTTCTTGCTTAGCATACAGTTCTTCTCTCATGCGTAGTTCTCACAAGTTCTTTGCAGTGTAACTAGGTGTGTTCTCAATTCGTTTAGCTAGCTAGTTCTGCAAGAGGTTTCCCCTTCACTTGTTTGCTGAAGTCTTTGGGTGAATGCAGCAGCCCCAAAGGTATAAACAATGTACTAAGTGCAAGAAGCATGTGCCCAGCAGTGACCGGTACATGTACGGTGCCTGGGAGAAGGCCACCAATAAAATAAGTGCCGTATCTTCAGGAGTTTTAAGCCCCAGACGAAATGTGAGAGGGATGAGAGACTTAAATTTTTAATGGAGTCAGCACTTTAGCCTCATGATTCAGCTTTGACTTCTTGTGGTGCCTTGCTATTGGTATGCCCTCCCCAGCAAGCCATAGTCCCATTGCTCCTAGACTATCTCCTTTAATTAAAGCAACAGGATCTATCTGTCTTGTTCACTAAGGTACAGCTGGCAACTATTTCTGTTTCTTACCAGGATTCAGGAATGACATCTCTCTTTGGGGACTTGCTGGTGGGTCATTTCCCTATGGGTTTGGACCTTCAGGTACATCCTTTTACCTCTTGGGACCTGAATCTTGTGCTCTCCTAGCATATGGCCCCTATATTTGAGCTCCTGGACACCTGTTCTCTAGCTTCCCTATCTTACAAAGTGGTCTTTCTGGCAGCCATTACTGCTGCCAGACAAGTGTCAGAGCTGAGAGCTCTTACCTCTTGAGCCTTTGTCTTTTATAAAGACAAGGTTCCACTGCAACCCCATTCTGCCTTTCTGTCAAAGGTAGTGTCACCTTTTCATGTCAATCAGGACATTTTTTTCCTCTGTTTTTTCCTAAACCACAAAGCACAGATTAGGAGAGACTCACTAGATTTATGACATGCCCCTGCTTTTTATCTTGAGTGAAATAAGCCATTCCAGTGGTCAACGTAACTCTTCATTTCTATTGTGGACTGTGCTGAAGGGCCTCCTGATTATGTCACAGTGCCTGTTATCCTGGATCACTATGTACATCAAACTGTGCTCTGACTTAGCCAAAGTGCCGGTCCCACCTATCCATGTACTCCATTCAGGTGCAAGCCTTAACGGTAGCTTTTCTAGCACAAATCCCAATTCAGAATATAGCTATGTCGTCCTCCCTACACAATTTCACAACTCTTTACGTCTTCACCCATCATTTCTGGGATGATGTAGCATTCGGCAGAGCTGTATTGAACTTGGCATCGAGCTGAGGCCCAATCCCTCCTCCTTACAAACTTGCTGGTAAGTCACATAGTGGAATGCATATGAGCAATCACTGGAAGCAGAAAAGAGTTATCCACCTTTTGCAGTAATGGGAATTCTTCAAGATGTGTCCCCCCACGGGTTCTCCACTTGGTGCTGGTCCATCCTCATGCTGGTGATTGGAGATTTTTCTAGAAGTGTCCTGCCATATTGCATGTGCACAGTAGCATCTCCTTATGCCGCTGGTATCTGTCCATTCCTTCTTTACCCTGGTTATAGCTCCGAAGAGGCTCCAAAGTAGAGGAGGGATAGTGGAGCACCCCTGGGGACACACATCTTGAAGGACTTCCATTACTGCACAGGGTGAGTAACTCTCTTTTCTTCTTTAAGTGATGTCCCCATGGGTGCTCTACTGTTCATATCGTGGAGGAGAGTTTGGAGCCATGCCCCAGAAACTGGGCAGCACTGCCTGTCCCACTGGCATTGTTGGAAATAAGCTGGAGATAAGTGTATAATGTTTTGCAAACATATGGTTGGACAATCAAATTGCCACTTTGCAAATGTCTTCCAGTGGGACATTGTTGAGGAAGGCTATGGTGGAAGCCACTGCTCTGGGGGAATGAGTTGCCGCTACTGGTGGTGGTTGTTTGTTGTAGATGGTATAATAAGCATGTATGCATGAAGAGTTCCACCTGCATATTCTCTAGGAAGAGATGGCTTCTCCCTTTGACCTTTCTGCAAATGAGACGCAAAGTGTCGTTGACTTTCTCCTTTTGTTCTATCAAGGTAAAAAGCAAGTGTTCATTGGATGTCCAAGGTGTGTAACGCCACCTGCATCACGTTGTTATGAGGTTTAGAACAAAATGCAGGTAAGTGAATTTGGGATAGAGACTGAGCATTCCTCTGTCCTTAGTGAAAACTGTGTATGGTGGGTCAGCCATCAGCGTCTTTCCCCCACTCTCTTGCTGGAGGTGATGGCCACCAGAATGGTCACCTTCATGGAGAGAGGCAACCAGCTAAGGTGCCATTTATAGGGAGGTAGAAGAGCAAGAATCCCCTCTCCCACTTTTGAACCCCTGGATTTCATACTTTAGGTCTGCTTAAAACTGCATGTACCAGCTCCTGAGGCAGTACTTAAATGCAACAGGAGTTAGAGCTGCATGCCATTTTGTCTTTGGAGCAAGAAGTTTGTTTTTAAATGAAGAGAGGCAGAGCAATTAAGAATAGCAAGCTGGTCAGTCAAGTAATTGAAAGATGTTTAGATCATCATGAAAACATTGCCAGGTATTTAAAAGAGGGGTGAAAAAGAACAGGAATGAGTATTGTGCTGTTTGGATTTGCATTTGAATCACTTCTGTTAAACTTAAAAAAAAAATTAAAACAATGAGTGGTCCTGTAGCAACTTAGGGTATGTCTACACTACAGCACTAATTCAAACTAACTTAATTCGAATTAGTTAATTCGAACTAAGCTAATTCGAACTAGTGCATCTAGACCTAAAAACTAGTTGGAATTAGCATTTTGCTAATTCGAACTAGCATGTCCACATTGAGTGGACCCTGAACTGATGTTAAGGATGGCCGGAAGCAGTGCCGGCAGGGCATCAGATTAGGACTTAGAGCGTGGAGCTACTGTCTCAGGCTATCCAAGGGCTGTGCTTAAAGGACCCAACTCCCACCCCGGACAGACAGTTCTCAGAGGTTCCCCGCTCACTTGTCTAACTCAATGAGGGACAGCAAAGCAGTCCTGGCTTGGAGTGCCCTGAATGCCCACACTCGGCACATCACAGCACTCGGCTATCAGCCCGGCTCCAATTGCCGCAGGCTGCCATCCGCAGCTGGGTCAATCAGGGGGCTGCAGGAGAGCTTCCACCCCGAGGAGCCCGCAGAGCCACCCCAGTCCTCCCCAT